CATTGTTGTTTTTTGTTGTTTTGGTTTTTTGAGCCTTGGCTGTGCTTGAACTTTCTCTGTAAACCAGGCTGGCCTCGAACTCAGAACTCTACGTAATTCTTCCACCCAAGTGTTGTAATTAAAGGCATGCATCACCATGCCTGCTTGTATGTTTTGCATGCATTTCTGATTTACATGAACAGATCTGAGTCAAATGCTGATCCTCTGTATGCATAGGAAGTGAGGAAGAATTCCTAGTGGTGTTCAGCATGTTTGCTAAGGAATATACCATATATGCTGCTTAGATTTTTTTTTTTTTTTTGCTTTGTTCTTGTCAACTTAACACAAACCTGGCCATACCTAGGAAAGAAGGAACCTCCACTGAGAAATCTTCAATCTGGATTGCCTGTAGGGCATTATCTTGGTTAATGATATGGTGTGATCCCTGGGTAGTTGGTTCTGAGCAAGCCATGGAGAACAAAGCTAGTAAGTAGCATTCCTCTGTGGTCTTAACTTCAGTCCCTAACTTAGCTCCTGCTTTGGCTTTGCTCAGTGAACTATGACCTGGGATATGTAAGCCAAATAAATCTTTCTTCCCATGCATCTTTTGGTCATGATATTATCACAGCAATATAAATGAAACTAAGACACCATACATTCCTGAAAATCTCATTAACTTAGGAAATGTAAAGGTCATAGTTATGATAATAGGCAATTTATAGTTGATCAGAAATAGGCCTGTTACTTTCAGTTAGCTAGTTACATGTAGGCATCCTTTTTAAAAAATAGCCTGCTTGTCTACCAGTCCAAGACAAATTATTAAAATGTACTACCAAGTCAAAGTAACAGCTGGCTTGCCTTCCCAAAGATGAAGTAAATGTTAAACTGAGAGATACCTGCCCAGCTGACTCAAGTCTTTTTGAGATTCAAAGCAGCTGAGGACCTGTATACTGACCTTTTATCTGTGGGGCTTTCTCAGCATTTGTTTGATACTTGGGCTGGGAGCATAGGTTTTGAAACATTTTAAATAGAGTTGATTATTTTCAAAGAAATATAGAGTGTATTTTGGATGCCTAAACAATTGCAGGTAAGTTTGAGACAGTTCTTCTCTAATCAGAACAAAACTAAAAATCATTTTGTAGTTGCATTGTAAACAAGCAACTTAGTTATTATAGTAGTGTCATTTTTTTCATGTTTTCTTTTTTTCTCTCTTGTAATCTACTTTTATATTGGTAGAGAATAATTCTTTTTCTAGCAGCCTAAATCTGATGGTATTTTTTGGTTGTTTAAGGCTCTTGGCTCTCTTGTTTCTTGAATCAATACAAATACTTCTTCAAATGGGTTACATCATAGTGTAGTTGTCTTATTTCAACTTTTAACAAAGTGGTCTGTACAGCAACCAGTCTGGATCCATCATTACGCTTTCTTGTTTGTATTACTTTATGCTTCATCACTTAAGTAGAAAGAAAAGAGGTCTATTTCTTTTTAGTTTCTAAATGTATCCATATCCTTTTTGATTTTTTTTCTTTCTCCCCTCTATACTTTTCTTTCAAATTACTTTGGTCTTTATAATTTCTGAGACACCTTTCCTATCTTATATTAGGTCTGTATCTGTTAGTTTCCTTTGTCATTATAGTAGTAGACCACTACAGATATGACCTGGAATGGGCTAGAAATCTGTTTTAGTTTCTTGAGTATGTACTGAAATGTCATAATTTTCTAATTTTCTATAGGGTCATCTTATCAATGTAGACGTGGGATAGTTTGTTGCAGGATTCCTGCTTGAGTCCCGTCACCGGTTTAGCCCCCCCCCCAAAAACACACAGAGACTCTTATTAGTTACAGTGCTGTTGGACAATGTCCAGGGTTTCTCATTGGCTAGGTCTGTCTTAAGTATTAACCCATGACTACTAATATATATTTCTATAATAAAGATTTATCTTACCGAGGACGGCATCCTGACGCATCCCCTGGGAGCACATGGCAGCTCCGCACTCTTGACTACATTTCACAGAATCCTTCACTCCTAGTCCCCACGTATCTTGCTTCCCTATTGGCCAACAGTGCTTTATTATCAACCAGTAAGAGAGACATATTGATCCTATTTCTGAGATTGTACCACAGTCAGTATCCTTGTATCAAGCCAGATTGAGCTGGGCATGGTGGTGTTTATTGGTCTCTGTATCATTCAGGTGACTGAGGCAGGAGGATTATGCATTCAGAGCCAGCCTGGGCTTTATAGTGAATTCAGTGATTGCTTAAGCTATATAGCAAGACCCATCTTAAAAAGGAAATCAATTTTAAGACAAGTTAACAAGAGATAAACATAACAGATTGATGTTACCATAGTTTTTCTCGACTTCTGTCTTATTTAAGTCTCAGACATCTGGGGTGTTCTCTACATTTCATGCTTTAATTTAATGTTTGCACAACTATGCATAAAAGTGATTAGACAGAAAGGCTATGAGCTAATGGCAATGGAATGAATGAGAAACCTACCAAGACCTACCTGTTGAGATTCTCATCTCTGCTATGGAACTTGTTTCTCCTGAATGTGAAGCAGGACACCTCTGGAATGAGGGTCTTTTTTATGGCAAGCTACTAGATAGAAAGGCAGAGAAAGATTAGAAAATTCCTAGGTTTTACTGCTGACTGTGGAGAGAATGGCTTTTACTTACTATAACACACCCTTGGAAAAAATAATTCTAGTTTTATGAATTTGGTCATGGGAGAATGAGGGATAGGACTGGACAGGAAGGCAAGAGAAAATTAAAAAACAAAACAAAACAAAAAACTTGCATATAAGGCCTTTACTTTGAGACATTTTCTGAGCCTAACAGTAAATTAAAAAATGTTTTGAAAATTATGCATTCTTACATAGTAATGAATAGCTTACTTTTGTTATCTTATTAAAATATTGTACAACAGTACTGTAGCTTAAATTTGTCCCTCAGGTTCATGAGCTGGAAGCTTGGTATCCATTATGGCAATGTTGAGAGGTAATGGGACCTGTAAAGAAGGACCCTAAGAGGTGGAATGAGGCAAGATCTGAGCAGATTGGGAGCACAGGGTGGGGAAAGAGAGCCAGGAAAAAGAAAGGGAGAGGAGGACATGGGGGAGCATGAAGGTTGAGTTGGGGGAAGAATAGAGAGCAGGAAAGGAGATACCATAACAGAGGGAGCCATTCTAGGTTTGAGGGGAGATCTAACACTAGTGAGATCTCCAGAGATCTACAAGGATGACACCAACTGGCAAGCTAAGCAATAGTGGAGAGACTACTTTAAATGCCCCTCCCTGATAATGATTTTGCAGACTATCTTATATACCATCCTAGAACCTCCATCCAGTGACAGAAGAAAGCAGAGGCAGACACCCACAGCTAAACACTGAACTGAACTTCTGGAACCCAGTGACAGAGAGGGAGGAGTGATGAGCAAAGGGGTCAAGACTGGGTGGGTGAATCCCAGAGAAACAGCTGACCTGAACAAGGGATCAGCATGGGACTGATCCAGACCCCCTGAATGGACCTGTCAGTGAGGAGACTCAGGCAATCTATGTGGTTTTTGGGTAGTAGATCAGTATTTATCCCTGGCACATGAATGGACTTTGGGTGCCCATCCCACGATGAGGGATGCTTTCTCAATCTGGACACTTTGGAGAGGGCCTGGGCCCTCCCTGGAACAAAATGACAGACTCTCTGAGATCTATGATATGGATCATTTTGTAAGTCTGCAAAGAATTTTATGCTATTAAACTTTTCCAACACTGACCTAGCCTTCAGTAGTATGTCAAATAGGGAATAATCTTGAATTAGCAGGGCACTGAGGAGGAGAAGGAAGCAGGGGATTTCACTGTTAACATGATTATGACCAACTGCTACAAATAAGAATCTTGGTATTGGTTGATCTATCTCAGGCTAAAAAAAATTGAATCTGTTATTGAAGATCATGATAGTATTACATTACTTTATCACTGTGTTCTAGTCAAGACTAGCTGCTTTTTTGTTTTGTATTTTTCTCTTGAGACAGGGTCTCACCTATGTAGCTCTGGCTGTCCTGATACTTCTTGTATAGATCAGGTTGACTTTGAATACAGAGAGTCACTTACATCTGCCTCCTAAGTGTTGGGATTAAAGGAGTGTGTCACTATATATATTCGTTCCTTTTAAGTCCTCTATGTTCACTTTCATTTCTAGAGTTTGATGTTGCCAGGCTTTGAACTTTCTTGTAATTCAGTATAAAACAGCCTTGTTCTTAAGGCTTTATTATGTCTATTTTGATTCTCCTTATGTCTTCTATATAGGTTACCCTATATATCTATATTGCTAGAAAACTTGCTGCCCAAAGCTTGTTATGTTTATCTTGCCCTTGTTTTTAAAAATCAATCTGCCTGCCTCTGTTGATGTCTTTCATATGTCAAGTTTTAGACTTATTTTTACTATGTGTGTGTATACGTATACATTTGTGCACTGGACAACTTTCAAGAGTCAAGTCTCCAGTGTAGGATCCAGAGTCTGTCAAACCTATTTTATTGGCCCTAATGTGTCATGTTTTATTTAAGGAAAAATAGTAAAGAGCTTGATTTGATTTTTGGAGCTTTCTCTCCTCTCCATTCTGACAAAGACAAATCAACAAATGTAGCTAAATAACTTATTTACCTGAAACATTTTGATAGAGATGAGTGTTTAGTCCATGTCCTTTTCATTGCCAAGTAAAGCTAAAATTTTTCCGAACATAAAAAATATTTCCTTAGTCTGTTTGCAGATAGGGGTTGACTTTAATGAAGAAAAATCAGTGGCTTACGTGTGAAGTAAAAAGCAAATGAAGTGTGAAAAGGGTAGATTGTGATAGATTGAGCCCACACCTTTGAAAGATGGACATCAAAATCTGATTAATCATAGTGCTGGCAACTATTTGGGTTTGGTGTTGAGACTTGATTGCATTACAGTTTGATTTGAATGTGATAACATTTTATAACAGTTTTTATTGTAAATATTTCTGTAATTTTTTTATAATCTACAGAGAAAGCAACTAGTGAGATGAATACTGCTGAGGACTGGGGCCTCATCTTGGATATTTGTGATAAGGTTGGCCAATCTCGTACTGGGTGAGTATGCAAGGATTCAGGAGTTCTTGTTCATCTTTCTAATAATTAAGACAAATTAGAAAAGTAAAGTATATTGTAATTCTAAATTAGCTTAAAAAACACTTTCACTAAAAAGATTTGAAGAATTGTCTTATTTAGTTTACCCCTATTGTGGTTTAATTGGGAATACCCCTTTTAGGCTTCTGTTTTGAACATTTGGTCTCTAGTTGGTGGTGATGTTTGGAACTCTTGTAAAACCTTTTGGACCTGGAACCCTATTGGTGGAATGGGTCACTGGGAATATGCTTTCAGGGGTTATTCCTGGCCCTGCATCCTGTCCCTTCTCTGTGTCCTGAATTCAGATATTCTGATCAGCTGCCCCTTGTTCCTATCATTATATCCTTCCCACCATTTTTGAACTGTAGTCAAAATTAGCCCTTAGTGCTTCTGGTCCCAATCTGGTTTCAGCCATGAGGAAAACAAATACTATAACTCCTTATGGCATGTGGAGGTGATAAGGTTGCTATAAAGTTGGAGCCTTGTTGCGCATTCTGTTGTATCTTTTTCTTTCTGAAATTACCTTTTCACTCACTTTAGAGACATTAATCATTTCCCAGTTATCAAGTTTCATGCTTATATTTGGATTTTTTTCACATATCTCAAATGATTAATGATGATTGAAAGATAAGCAAAGTAGAATCTTAAACGTTAACATAAATTACAAACTTTCTAAACAGTTCAGAGTTGATTAACTGATGTGTATGTATAGATGATTTCTTCAGCTTCAGGGCTAATAACATTCAGTCCGTAGCAACATCATTTACTGTGTTTTACTATACAAATAGTATTTTTAGTCATATGGGAATAGTTCAGAAGCACTGTCAGGTACATGCTTCATTCTTCCAGTGGCAATCCTAACAATCCTAGCCATTACTCAGTTCAGCCATGTAGCCTTCATAATCTCTTTCAAAATGTCTGTGTAACAAAATGTCCATGATCCATAAGCTTGGCTAGACAGAGGCAGTTTATGCACAGGGCCTTTATTCCAGTGCCTTCAGCCTCTGGTTTCTCTGGTTTACTGTGTTTATTTGGTTCTCCAAGATTGTCTGCAATGTGTCCTCTGCGTATTCACTTAATTTTTTTTAATTTAACTTTAATCTGTGTGTGTGTGTGTGTGTGTGTGTGTGTGTGTGTGTGTGTGTGTGTGTGTGTGTGTCTACATATGGGTGCATTCATTCCACACTAGAAAACTTTGAGGATTCAGTGTTCTCCGTCTACCTTTACATGGATTTCAGGGACGCATGTGCATTGAGCCAGTTGAGCCATCTACCTCTTGTACTAAGACTTTTCTGCTGGGCAGTGGTGGTCATGCACATCTTTAATCCCAGCAGGAGGGGGTGCAGAGGCAGGAGAATCTCTCTGAATTCAAGGCCAGCCTGGTCTACAAAAGTGAGTTCCAGGGCAGCCAGAGCTGTTATATAGAGAAACCCTGTCTCAAAACCAAAACAAACAAACAAAAAACCAAAGCAAAAACAAAACAAAAAAGACTGTTTTCTTCTGGTCTGGTTCTTCTAACTAAATTTAAGTAACTGCTATGTATTACTTAGCTTTTGCTCCTTCTCCACTTTTCATCTGGCCCACTTTATTTGGAATATTCCTCATTACGGTTAGTGTCAATTGTCAACTTGATACAAGGTAGTCACCTAAGAAGAGTCTCAGTGAGGGATTGTTTATGTTGGTTGGCTTGTGGGTCTGTCTGTGGGGGATTGTCTTAGTTGATGCCTGAAGAGTAAGGCCAGTCTGGGTGAGTAAGAGGTGAGGATGGGTGGGTGGGTGTCCTGAACTGTTCTTAAGAAGAAGAAATTGAGCTGAGTGGTAAGCAGACAACCCACTGAGCATGCATAACTTAATTCTTTCTCTCTTTACCTTCAGTTACTGTCCTGATTTCTTCCAGATGATGATGGGCTGTGACTTGAACTTGTAAACCAAATAAACCTTTCTTCCTAAATTGCTTTTTATTGTCAGGGTATTTTGATAATAGCAACAGAAATGCAAATAGAACATTTAAGTTGTCTGGAGTGGTACATTAACCTGTTGTTTCTTTTGTGTCTAAATCTGGTACCCGATTGCCAAACAAAAGCTGTTCATGCCATTTTTTGCCTTCTGGAGTCACTTTATAGTTTTCCAGATCATTTAACTTCCTTTCTTTCCTACATGACATTGATTTCTGTGCAGTTAATGTTGGAGTTGCCAGTGGCGGGGGAGTGTTGTTGTTATTTTTAAGAGTTAAATGCTATTGGGTTCTTTATTCCTTAAATGTAGAATGTTTTCTTCTCTCATTTCCTACCCTTTTGACATATGTCTTATCAGACTCATTTATCTCAAAGCTTTTTTTGTCCTCTTCATTGTTAATAATATTGAGTCTCTTAGTCCTCAAAGTACTGTATCAACAACAGTTTTCTTTTTTAAATCATTAATTTATTTTTATTTTATATGCATTGTTATTTTGCTGGCATGTATATCTATGTGAGAGTGTCATATACCCTGGAGGCAGAGTTATAGGCAATAACTCTAGTTGTAAGCTTCCATGTGGGTGCTGGGAATTGAACCCAAATCCTCTGGAAAAATAGCCATTGCTCTTAACTGCTGAGCTATCTCTCTAGCCCCCTCAAAAACATTCTTCTGAAGCCAGGCGTTGGTGGTGCGTGCCTTTAATCCCAGTACTTGGGAGGCAGAGGCAGGCAGATCTCTGTGAGTTCGAGGCCAACCTGGTCTACTGAGTGAGTTCCAGGACAACCTCCAAAACAATACAGAGAAACCCTGTCTCAAAAAAACCAAAAAAAAAAAAAAAAAAAAAAAGGATTAGTCTGGTGTATTTTAAAAGTACAACTTTATCTAGTATCACAGTTATGAATTTGTCCTCAGTTTTTTCTTTTTCTTTAGTGTTCTTTTTTTCTATAGGTACTTTAAAAATATTTAACTTACTTTTATTTTATGTGCATTGATGTTTTGCCTGCATGTGTGTGTGAGGGTGCCAGATTCCCTGGAACTAAAGTTACAGACTGTTGTGCGCTGCCATGTGGGTGCTGGGAATTGAACCCAAATAATCTAGAAGAGCAGTCAGTGCTCTTAACCACTGAGCCATTTCATCAGGTAGGTACCTTTTCTAACAATTTGGTCAAATGTCTAAAATCACGTATATCTCTTTCATTACTAGAAATATTTCCTGTTTTTCTAGTTAAAAATCAGTTTGAAATTTTGTGTGGTGTCTAATGATGGGGAAGTTGCATCATTTCTTTTCATTATATTAACATTATACCAGCCATATTCATTAGACATGTTTTCTTATACATTTGAAATGTACTCATTTTTACCTGTAAGAATGCATTTGTCTACATTTTTTATTCAGCACCAGTAGGTTTAGGTACATGCTCTTTAAAAAAAAAAATCAGTCCACATGCTTTTTCCCAGTGTATTCTTTTTTTTCTTAAGATTTATTTATTTATTATGAATACAACATCTTGCCTCATGTATGTCTGCACACTAGACCAGATCTCATTATGGATGGCTCTGAGCCACCATGTGTTTGCTGGGAATTGAACTCAGGACCTCTGGAAGAGCAAGCAGTCAGTACTCTTAACCTCTGAGCCATCTCTCCAGCCCCTCCCCCCCCAGTGTATTCTTAACATTTGAATTATTGCTTGGGATTTTGAACTAGTTATACTAAATCTAGGAATTTACTTAGATAATTCCATCTTGATCAGGGATGGTTCTCTTGTTCATCTGCTCTTACTCACTTGCAGTCCCCCCTTCCCTTCTTTTCTTCCTCCTTTTATTACCCTCCCCCAATAATTACTGGTCTCTATTTCTTCTAAACCAGTGGTTCTCAATCTTTCTAATAATACTGTAACCCTTTAATACAGCACCTCGTGTTGTTGTGACCCCCACAACATGAGGTACTACTTCATAAATGTGATTTTGCTGCTGTTAAGAGTCGTAATATAAGCCAGGCGTTGGTAGCCCACGCCTTTAATCCCAGCACTCGGGAGGCACAGGCAGGTGGATCTCTGTGAGTTCCAGGCCAGCCTGGTCTACAGATCAAGTTCCAGGACACCCTCCAAACAATAAAGAGAAACCCTGTCTCGAAAAACAAAACAAAAACAAAACAAAACAAAACAAAACAAAAAAAGAGTCGTAATGTAAATATCTGATATGTGATCCCTAAAATGGGGTCTAACCCACAGGTTGAGACCCACTGTAAACCATCATTATTTTCTAAGCATTTATTTGCTTGCATACATGAGACATGTCAGTGCCCATGTTAATGGTTTGGAAATCTAAATAATAATGGAGGTATTGTTTCAGTATTACTGAAGTTTAAAAATCATGTGTGATTTCCTCTCTGGCCTGTAAGACTGTTTTGGAAACCAGTGTTGGTGTCCCATGTGTGTAATTCTGGTATTCAGTAGGCAGAGGCAGGAAGATAGGTGGGCATTCAAAGATAGATTGTGATACATAAAGAGTTCTGGGTTTGCCTGGCTTACACAGTGATAAATGAATGAGTGAATGAATGTATGAATATGTTTTCTGTTTATGTACATACATGTGTTTCTGCTTTATTGCAGTACCTCAATATTCTTATTAAAGAAAGTAATAAGCATAGAGTGCCACTGGGACTTCTCTGACCTTAAATTTTTGCTTTATGGGATTTTATCATTGAATTATTTTGAAGAAATTTACATATGTTTAACCATCTTAATATAAAGATTCTTTTTTTAGCCAGGTGATGGTGGCACACACCTTTAATCCCAGCACTCAGGAGGCAGAGGCAGGAGGATCTCTTTGAGTTTACAAAGCTATACAGAGAAACATTGTCTCAAAAAACCCCACAAAAATTATTTTTTAATCTTTGAAAGAATTTAACATTTTTGTGTGCATCTACGATTTTTGTGAACTAGAGATGCCATGTGTTTACATGCCCAAAGGATTAGCATTATAGGTTCCCAGATTAAGTCTGTAAT